TGGATAAATGTGTGTTCCCGGAACTTGGAAAATTATGATTATTTTGATCACAATTGCTAGAATGTCTAGTCACTAGATGGTTGAGACAAACATTTAATGCATTCATAATAATAAAACAATAGCATGTGTGTTAGTAACCTTTTTGCCCATTGACTGGCTTCTTATTTGGTTTCATGTTTCTTATCATCATCATCAACAACATCTTAGAACTGAAGGGATCATCCAGCCCAGCCACTTTATGAACTATGGCAAAACGTGAAGGTATTCTGGGGAGCTTATGGAATAAAAAGACAGAATCTGAATAAAAAACGAGAACAGTGATTGATAAGAAGAAAGCCAGAGACTAACGAAAACTCGGATTAAAAGCAAAGAGCACAGAACAAAGCTGTAGAAGCTCAACTGGGTATCAAAATTGCAGTTGTAGAACGGGTAGCCGCGCAAGTCTGCAAGCATTATAGGTAAAATTGATATTAAAAAATTAAAAATAAAAATAAAAGAACATAATGAATCATTACATTTCTGGAGAGAAAAATGGGCAACTACAAAACATTAAAATAAGGCAATGAATCCCGAGGCTGGCGGGGAGCATGGAATTGGAAATGTATGTTGCGTATGTTGTGTTTCTTTTCTCTTTTTATGTTACAGTAGTTGCTTTTTCTTTGCTGATGTTTTTGTTGTTGTTGTTACACTTATTGAAAAATAAAAATAAAATAAAAAATAAAAATAAAAGTAAAAGTAAATGAACGGGGGGGAATAAAAAAAGGTGTCACCACGTTTTTGCCCTTTTTATTTTTATTTCTTTTCTTTTTTAAACCGGTAATCGGTGTGGAAAAAAAAATACAGCCAATTTAAGACGGCTGCAAAAAAGTTCCTCCCTCCCCCTCCCTGTTGTGTGGGAGGAGCTAACGCAGCCCCGCGTGGGCCAATCACAGCTCTCCTGGAAGCCTTCCATTGTCTCTCCTAGGAACTGCCCTAACTTCCGCCCTAGAGACCGCAAGAGGGACCGGAAGCTCCCGGCGCTAACGCCCGTCTAGCAATCGCACCTCTAATGCCCCTCTCCTTCCGCGGCCTCCTCGGCCACTCCAGGGCCGGAAGGGAGCCGCGTGCCCTATCAGCACGCGCGTTTCTTCTTCTTCTTTTTTTTCAGCCCCGCCCTCCCACGGCCTCCCGTACCGCCTGCCGGGATTGGCTACTCTCTATTTGTTCCCTTTTGCTGCCTGGTCAGAGGTCCTGCAGGGAGGGAGAGCTGGCCGGGGCTTCGGCTGGGGCTGGACTTTGGTCAGTCCTTGGGGTGGGGTGATTGGGAGGGCCAAACTGGGGGGACGTGCCTTTAGAAATAATAAATAATAATAATGTAATTTTGGACTGCAGCGCCCAGCATCCCCAGAGGGCTAGCCAGCTGGGGATGCTGGGTGTTGTAGTCCAGAGAAAAACAACATTTGCAGGGGTGCCTTTTCAAGATTTGGGTAGCAGTGATTATGGGGGTGTCTTCCAGGCTAAGCAAAAAAAAAGGGGGGGTTGGCGTTGATGGGGAGATGGAAGTGTGTATGAGAGCCAGAAAGGAAAGAAGGAAGGAATGGAAAGAGAGAAGGGGGTGGGAGAGAGTAAGAAAGGCATGCACGTAGGTGGGGGAATATGCATGAGGATGCATGTGTTGGAATATCTCCCAGAATCATTCAGTGTTTACCAGCATGATCCGTCAGGGAGACGGGATAGATGAGCCAACTCTTTATGTGTCATACATCTCCATGCTCTGTTGTATGCAGTCTCAAAAAGTCACTTTTTCCCCATTCCTGGCTCTGAAGGGACGCTGGCTCACATTTCTGCTTTATCTCTAGAGGTGGTCGGTCGCACTCCTGCATTCCCGGAGCCGTCGGCAGAGTCCAGTTGCAGCATGGCTAGTGGTCCTGGAAGCGCACGCCCAGGACAGCGGCCGGCAGGGGGGAAATCTCCCCGGAAGAGGCCCTGGAGCGTGGTGGCCTGGCAGAGCAAGGCGGAGTGGGACCAAGTGATGGTGGGGCTGTACTGCGGCGACTGCCAGCTGCAATGCGATGCGCTGGACCGGGTGTCCGTTTGGAAGAGCAGGTGAGAGGAGAGGCGTGCAGGGCGCGGAGACGACGTTACGGGTGCATCTGAAGGGACGCTAGCTGGCCGGATAGCTCAGTGGTTTAGGTCTCTGGCTGTGGAGCCGGAGGTCGGGAGTGCCATTCCCCACCAGGTGTTCTAGCAGAAGAGCCAGCCTGTGTGGCCCTGGGCCAGCTGCACAGTCCCAGGGCAGCCCAGAGTGTGGTAAACCACCTCTGATCATTCTCTACCTGGAACACCCTGAAAAGAGTCATCAGAAGTCCAAATTGACATCATAGCACCTTTTATTATTATTATTATTATTAATGTAGTTGGGCAGCCCTTATCTGACTTCAGGAGATTAGAATGTGAAGACTGAACATATTCAGAATTGACGTCATAGCACCTTTTATTATTATTAATGTAGTTGGGCAGCCCTTATCTGACTTCAGGAGATTAGAATGTGAAGACTGAACATATTCAGGGATCTCCTGGGCAACAACAGCACCCTGTCGGCTGATTCTTCCCCTCCAGAAGCATCACTGGGTTGCATCTGACACTTCTTCTGGAAATGCTTGCCAAAGGGCTCAGCCCTGTCAAAACTGTTCCCAATGACTGACCCATGGGGTTTTGGTTTTCGGCCATTCTTTCCTTAAAATGCTCCTTGGCTTATGATTTTTGTTTCTTATGGATACCTTGCACATCTAGCAGCACCCACCTGATTCCTGCATTAAGGCTTGGAGGTGTCTTTTTTGGTCCCAGAGCCAGCTGAGGGCACTACAGAACCCATGCTGTGGCTTATGCTTTGCAGAGAAAGATCAGGCAAGAGGGGGGATGTAGTATTTCAACTGGTCCGGTCTCCTGCAGCTCATCATCCTCTCAATGAACTCCCATCATCCTCAAACAAACTGTGGCTTTTGTGAGAACTCCAGTTGGGAAACCACTGATCTTGGGGGATCAGTGGAGAGAAACTCTTTCTGCCTGAGCAAGGAGGTGATCCTGACCTGATTTGTTTCAGTGTTTTAAAATTTCGTGGTTAACTTTCCTTGGTTGTACATCAGAAGTCCAGGGACTCACAGAGCATAATAGTTGCTAGTTCCCAGATAGTCCACCCTCTTTCCTCATTAATGGGCACTTACAGTCACTGAGACATTAGTGTATTAAAAAATGTTCCATTTACTTACAAAGGTGTCTCAACAACAAAGTTATTAACAACATGAATGCTTTTTAACAACTCTGCTTCCATATGCTTTAACAGATGTTTTTCTACTGACCACCCTCAATGGACATTGACAAACTCCTTGTGAGGAAAAAAGACTCTCAGTATAGAGGTGGGGCTCTCTTAGAGTTCTGACACACCGGAGAGGAGTATTGGTTAATGCTGGACAGATTGACAGTTTCTCCCAGCCTAGGAAGGCCCCTCCCTGTCAAACAAGCTAGAAGGCAGCATGCGAGGTTATAAACTCCCAACAATTTTGTCTTTTTTTTTCCTTTGGAGCTAGGTATGGCCACAGAATGCCTTTGGCTGTGGAGTGCACGGCAGATCTTGTTCGATGCAAAATCCTGGACGCCTCTGACGATATGAAATCCCATGAGTTGGTTCTTATGTATGGTCTGGCTCTTGTAAGGTAAGGACTGCCATCAGGAATGGGGGACGAGGGGCTGTCAATGAAGCCAAGTTTGGGGAGGGTCTCTAGGTTGTTGAAGGGCAGACCATTTTTAGTTCTGCCCGTCGACCTCTGTGCACACATTTTTCAGAAATAATTTTAGTAAGGGATACATTTGGGAGCCACGACAAAGCATGCCATGATGTGAGACAAACCCAGTTCAAGAAGATGACATATACTAGCTTGTGAGTTAGTTACCAAGCAAATCCATTCAATAACAATTTTGTAGTGTTGTATCCCTGTAATCTCAGTTCCGTTACTTATAGGACCATTTTCCTTCTTGGTGTGCACAGGTTTACAAATCTCATCACGGAGCGAAAGCAGAAGAAATTCAATATTTCACTGAGGTGGCTTGCTAAAGAGGTAAGGGTGACTGCCTAAAGAAGTTCCCATGCAAAAACCTCTGGTGTATTCTTACAACAACGGGGGTGTGTGACCCATGCGTTGGTTTCGCAATGTAATGCAACCCAAAGTCTGTATTTTGGCGGATGTGATTTTCTGTGATTTTAACGGAGGTGCTTCTTTTTTCAAAGCTGGACATCCCTGTTTGGATTGTAGACCTCCGACATGAATTGACCCACGGCAAACTTCCCCCACTAGCTACTTGCCGTAAAGGTAAATGCCGTTATCGGTGTTACCATTACCGTTTATTTATATGTCATGTCATTATGCAGATGGCAAATTCATCGAGCAGGAGAGAACAGACTGTTGCCCTCTAGAGTGTTGAATCTGACATAGAGATGGGTACAAACCGGCAATTTGTTTTTCAACCCAACCAGTGTTTGGGGCTTCCCAGCCCTGCCTCCTTTGATGGGCAGTGTCTGGGCTTCCCCAGCCCACCTCCTCCAAACGCTGCCTCTGTCTAGATGTCTGCTGGCGGAGGCGGGGCTGAGAAATGCCGGGCACTTGTTTGGCCGAAAAACGAACTGCTTGTTCGAGCCCGTCTCTAATCTGTCATCATGGAGGGAAGAGAAAGGGGAGAGAAATGAAGGCAAGGGGAATAAGTTATCTTTTTTTAGTTACATGTAGTTAGTTATAGAACAGTGTTGGAGCACGGCTGCTGAGCCTGGGAGGGTCTGTGAGAACTGTGACTTGTGATGGAGGATCTGGAAGAAGTTAGAGCGAAGGATGTTGATAAGGTATGCCAGGAGGTAGATCAGGGTTAAGGAAGAAGGGGTGAGTCTTTTGGTAATGCCTTCAGATCATCCCTGGTTGTGGAGGTGGATTAGCAAAGATCACCCGGCCATCTGCATGTTCTGATAGTATGCATGGACACCAAATTTTCATCTAGGTTGGAAATAGAGAGTGGTCTTGGGGAAACATGGCGATACACAGTGCATGCCTTTATCTTAGTTTGCAGGTCCTGTTGGCCTTGAGTGCCCAGGAGACCACAGTGAGGATAGAAAGTGTGTAGTCTTTTCATGCCACCCTCCCGACTCTTGCAGACCATCGTCCATGAACTTGCTGCCTCCCTCCAGTTGACCCTAAGTCGCTTCTGTAGGTGCAGTGCTTTGGAGCTTCCACCAGATGGTGGCATGAGATTTCAGTTAGCTACACATTTTCATCAAAAGAGAGAGAAGGGAAATCTGGAATCTGCTCTTCGTGTCCTACCTATGAAAGATTTTACAGCCATGTTGTTTGCTGCTTTTTTTGTGGGACACGGAAGGGCAGGTTTTTGAATGAAGAAGTCTTTCCCACAGCTTGAAATTGTCAGGGTTCTCCAGCTTTTCTACTGCGGCAGCTGGTTCCTGTTCTAGCATTTAGCCGTGGGATTTTTTAGAATTCATGGACTATATCCCCCAGAGGTCTGCAGTCCTTCAAGGTACCAATAGGTACAGTATGTTCAGTTGAGAAATAATGGCTTCTCTCAGACCTGATGAACACACAGGGAATAGCTAGGCAGGGCTAAGCTCTTGGGAACTCTCGTTTCCGGAGATGAAGCATCATATGCAGGTAGACTCCCGGGCCCATAATGCCTTGCAGTTCCCATAGGACTTAAAATATAGAGAGATCTGTGAGGATTCCCCCAACCAGTCTTCTGTGGGGAAGGAGGAGGAGATATTTCCCACCCCAGGGAAAGGGGTTATGTTCGCCCGTCTTCTGAGCAGCGTCTGCTGTTGTCATCATTGTAGGCTGCGATGTTGTGCTAGAATGGCTCCGGCGCTCTTACTGGAGCCGGCAGTTGAGTAATGGCCTGGCAGGTGAGCGTGAAGAGGAAGAGGATGATGAGCTGTCCAACAGCGAGAGCGGGACCGACAGCAGCCAAGAGGAGCCCGAAAAGTCATCGCCGTCGCCAATCTCCCGGAAGCACCTGGAGCTCCTGGGTGAGTAGTGACGACAGGGAGATGGGCCAGTGACCCTTGGAAATCCTGGACTCCTGCATGGTTTTCTTTAGACCATTTTTTCAGGGAGAGAAAAGAAAAAACAGAACCAAGGATTTGCCCGACTTTGTGAGTCTAGTGGATTAAGTCTTCCTAGTGGAGAGTTGAACATTCAGGGTGTCGATCAAGAGTGGATAAAAATCAACATGTTTTTTTTTTAAAAAAGTCAAATTGACTTAAATCACCATTTAAATTTTTTTAAATCTTTTTTTTCTTTAAATGGTCAGGGCCATTTAATTTTTTTTAATGGTGATTTAAATCAAATCCGCCTTGGTGTCAAATTAAAAAAGAAAATTAGAGGAGGGAATGGGCCAGCTTAAGCCCCTGACAACTTGTAATGTCTTGAAAGCTGAGGAGGACATTTGCCATCAAGAGTTTAATAAGAAAGAAAGAAAGAAAGAAAGAAAGAAAGAAAGAAAGAAAGAAAGAAAGAAAGAAAGATCAATGCCCTCCTCCCTCTCCACTTAGACTTATGGGGGGAAATTACTTTTCTAAACTTTCAGGATCTCACAACCCAAAAATAGGTATATTCTAGCTGTAACATTCAGAAAGATAGCAGTCCAGAAAAGCACTTCGTCCATCCCTGCTTGTATCTCTCCAGCCTTCCTGAGGATGTGCCAAAAGGGTTTTGTACAGTCTCTTTAAGAGCTGATGGCCTGTTTATATCCTAGGGACCGGAGGCTCCAATGTTCATTTCTGCCTGTGCAGATGTGCCTAAAACTGAATCAGGGTTGTGCAGAAGGTAGATCTTGGGTGGGTCGTTAGCTCTCAGGGCGTGCGTTGCTATAGATGACTAAGGATGTCAGCGTCCCAAATTTTAAACCCTAGCAGTAAGAAAACAGCTCCCAGGCTTTAAATTAAGAGATCTTGGCCCATCCAGGGGTGGATACGTGTTTGTGTACAAGGCACTCCGAACAGAATCCTGGGCCCTCATTTTCTTATTTCTACAGAATGTTTCCTTCACTAAAAGTCTATTTAGTGGACCTCAAGGTCCTGGAGAACACAAAGGTATCTTCCCCCAAGCTTGAAATCTGTTCACTCAAATGGGAACCAAGAAGTTATTCCATGCCGAGACATGCCATTGTTTTTTTCTGCTCTAGCACGACCCGAACCTAACTAGTAGCATCTCTCCAGGATTTCGGGGAGAGGGGTTTCTCTCCCTAAGTGGAGCTATGAGGGCTTAATAAGCATCATGCGGTATCAAGTCAGTTCTGACTTTTAGTGACTTCCAAGGTAGAGAATACTTAGAGGTGCTTTACCATTCCCTTCCTCTAGGGGCACCCTGGGGCTGTGCAGCTTGCCCAAGGTTACACAGGCCAAAGGATGTTTCAAGGACCTAGAGTTATTATGAAGGAAATGGCTTAGTTATTCAGTCTTAAGTTGGCGTGCTGGTCTTCCGTCAAATGGAGCTCAAGGACTCCATATTAGTTCCTTCCTGCACATTTCATTGGTTTCAAATGGTTTTCATTTCCCCTTCTGTCTTCCACAGAGAAAGTCACAGATGTCCTGATTTCCTATAAAAATCACCAGTTGAAGGTAAGTTCCGCAGGCAGTGGATACCATCAGCAATTTCCTTTTCATTGAAAACCTAAGGGGGTGGGGCATCTTTGTCGGTCCCAAGAGTTGTGTGGCTTCCGAAAAACCAGGTTTGTTTGGTATAAGATCGCTTTGACTAGGTCCCAGTCCATCGAAAGCTACCAGAGTGAAAAGTATGAGAGATTTTTGATACTGCACGGTATTCCAGCCCTCTTGATAACCCACGTAGGGAATCATGTTGGTGCTTGAACTTGAAATGCGGAGTGTGCTTCCCCAGTGTCGTCTGGATGTCTTGTAGGTACAGATTGCAAAAGCCCATCATTTATGCACAGCCTCGGTGGTGGTGGTTGGTAACTGCGACCAGCCTCCATGCTTCTCTCCTGGCTGGTCATTGAAACTTCAGTTTTAAGACAGCAGTAGCCCAGTGTGTCCCTTGCTAATTGTGACTGAAAGCATACACAGAAAACGTTGCCTTGCGGAAGCATGAACAGGCAGATTGATGGTGGGAAGACCTTTTTGCAGATTTTCTTCCTAGTCCTGTAGGAACATTGGCCGTCAGGGCCAGTTGGTGTGTGCCACTATGTGGGGCTGCAAGACTCGCCACCTGTGCCTGCGTTGTGTACAGTTGGATTTGTCTCAGATGCGACAAAGACTGAGAAAGTGTCTGGGACAAATTCTAAGGGAGCTGCAAGGTATTAGGGGCCTGGGAGTCTACCTGTATATTATGCTTCATGCAGGGTGCCTCTCAGGAACTTGCTCATTCTGTCTTCTCTGCTGTGCAACCTAGTAACAGTGTCTTCTGTTAATTGACAAGGTTCTTCCTGCTTGTAATAGGCTCTCCAGCAGCTGCAAGATGTCCAACAGGCCTGCCGAGTGTGGTGTAGCTCTTCCTCAGAGGTGGAATGGGTGGTGGCTCAGCTGAAAGACTTGCTTCAGGAGAACAGGTGAGGGCTGTAACTTCAGTTCCACACCAAAGCGTGCAATTGCTGGTATTCCACATACCTATTAGCTATTGGACTTCAACTCCCAGAAATCCTGGCCAGCAGAGGTGGTGGTCAAGGCTTCTGGGAGTTGTAGTCCAAGAACATCTGGAGGGCCAAGGTTGGACACCACTGCCTTAGACCACTGGTTCTTAACCTTGGGTTACTTAGGAGTTTTGGACTGCAACTCCCAGAAGCCTTCACCACCAACTGTGCTGGCTGGGGTTTCTGGGAGTTGCAGTTCAAAAACATCCGAGTAACAAAGGTTAAGAACCACTACCTTAGACATTACTGCTAGGGATGGGATTTTGTGATCATTTGACCTACAAATCCCATAGTCCTCCATTCTAAGAATTCTGTCTGAGGGAAACCTAAATGTGGCTCGCCTGGGAGAAAAGACCTAAACTGGAGGGCTTTGAGGCCTAGCTAAGGCCTTGCTCCTCCCAAGCTTCCTGTTCCTGCCCCAGTGCAAGCTGGGAGTTCTCTTTCTGAAACAGGAAACTAGGAAGGGGTCTTTCTCCCAGGCGAGCCACATTTAGAAGTCCGTAAAGCGTCTTGTCAGGTGGAGATGCCAGAATGATGGGTTTTGTAGTCAAAGAAACCTGAAAGTCTTGTAGTTTGTTGCCACACGGTCATGTAATATGGTCTAGTATTTTGGAAATTTCTTTGTCCCTTGATGATTCGCATAGAAACTGAACCAGTTGAAATTTCAATAAAATAAAATTGTAAAAAAGAAAAAGAATTACTCTGGAGAGAATACATTAAGCATTTGCTAATGGTCCTCGAAACCAGGCAGAGTATTTTTTTTTCTTTTTTTAGCAGATCTCATGAACATATTACGTAAAAAAAAAACCATACAGGGCCAAGTGAATCGTTCAAGTTTTGCTTCCCTGTTTTGTTTTTGGAGAAGTTTCTCTGTTTTGGAGACTTGCCAAGGAGTGGCTATTTTAGGAAAAGGGAGAAACCAGAAACTTCCCTCTACACTAGAGTTGCTCGTAGGGTATTGGTTGGGGAACCCGTCCGAAGAAGGCTTTCAGGCCAGGAAGTTGTTCTCGTCTCGAGTCGTCGTAGTCTCATTCTCAGAACGTGACCCCAAGCTATGTGTGTAAAGATTCAGTCCTTGTTTTGATACAGAAACAACCTTCCTCCTGCTGATGGATGAACTTTGTTGTGTGACGGATAAGGAAAATGAGCACCAATGGTTGCTTCTTCACCTTTAGTGGCATTTGATACATGGATCTAGACGGAACCCTCTTTTTCTCCACCTGACTGATATAGACGTTACTCTGGCTTTCTGATTTCGTTAGCTGTCCTATTCACAACTGCCCTCTTCCCCTCGTTCCTTCTTTTTTTTAATCACTCAATGGTAATGGCGTTCCGTGTCTAGTCGCACTGGCCACGTGACCACGGAAGATTGTCTTCAGACAAACGCTAGCTCTACGGCTTAGAAACGGGGATGAGCACCACACCCTAGAGTCGGACACAACTGGACTAAATTGTCAAGGGGAACCTTTACCTTTACTAGAGTGGAATTGGCTTTTAAAATGTATAACATATTATGTTTTTAATTCTGTTCTTCTTAATGCTGTGAGCCATCCTGAGTCCCCTTATCGGGAGAAAGGGGGCCAATGAATAAGACAGACTAATGAATAGAAATATTCGCCGACTGGATTCCATTTGTCAAATAACAGCTCAGCCCTTGATCAACATTGCCGGTGTTAAACCTCATTGCCAGAAGGCACATCCAATCACGAAGGGGTGACCGCTAGAAGTTGGTGAAGTCGTATTGTATTTCTTTGCTTCTTGAGGGGTGTTGGTGGAATCTAATGCACTGATCTGCAAGAGCAGTTATTCTCAACCTTGGGTAATCCAGATGTTCTTGGACTGCCAACTCTCAGAAATCCTGGCCAGCACAGCTAGTGGTGGTGAAGGCTTCTGGGACTTCTAGTCCATGAACCTCAGGGGATCCAAGGTTGGGAACCACTGTGCCAGACTGAGCTTTTTTGAGAGGCGTGTGGCATCAGACTGAGCTTTTTTGAGAGGCGTGTGGCCATTAACTACACAGTGCAAAGAAGGAACTGGAGGAAGAGGGCAGTTGTGGATTGACCCAACATCTGTCGTGGCCAAGGAGCAGCATCTAGAGAGCGCTCATTGGAATTTGTCATTACTGTAGGAACATCGTGGCCAGAGCTTTGCTTGACGATGGCTTTCTCATCCCATCGGCAGATGAGCTGCAGACGTTGAAAATCAATGAGCAAGGTTGGTTTCCTCAAACGGAGCTGTTTTTCCTTAAGACACAGAGGCAAATGCTCATTCTTTAATAATATAATTACGTGCTGTTCAGTCAGTTCTGACTAACGGCGACCCTTTTCAGGGCTTTCTAGGTAGAGATTACTCAGAAGTGGTTTCCCATTCCCTTCTTCTTGGGGTGCCCTGGGACTGTGCAGCTGGCCCAAGGCCACCCAGGCTGGGTCCTTTTTGCTTGGAGATGCCTGGGGGGGGGATTGAACCCCCAACCTCTGGCTCCCCAGCCTTGGAACTAACTCCCTGAGCAGCTTTCTTTAGCTGTGGTCTGTTCAAAACGCACAGAACAGATACGGGTGGCACCTCTGCATGTCTAAAACTATGCTGTCATTTTTAAATGTCAAAAAGAAGAATGGCTTTTACATAATTGTATGGAATAACCAACATTTATTCAGAAACAAGCGAAGAATGGCAGGGAGAGATGAAGAGAGAAAGGGGGCTCTCTACCTTTCCTCCCTCCCCCTTTTTGGTCTTCGTACATCATTAATTCTTGCTTCATTTTCCTCTTGGTGCAGTGCTTAGTTCAGGAACCATTGCTATAACTGTTCTTTTATTTCCACTTGACTATATAAGCTCTTATCCTAGGTGGGGGTGGTTCATTTGTTGGTTTCTGTCCGATTTCCCTGTCTGCTTCTCTTCCGAGTCTGATTTTCATCCTTCCTCGCCATATCGGCTTGCGCCTTTTAAGAGCCTGAGGTCGTGGTTCTTCTCCTGGCTTTCCAAACACCCTCCTGAAACTCTGAAGCTTGAGAAGGAAGCGTGGGTACAAGTGGGTCTTTTCAAAATGTTTTCCGTGGATCCCAAAAGAAAACGATAATCTTGTTTTCCTCTTCCCAATGGCGGCGTAAGACACCAGCGAGTGGGACTTGAGCCTTCCTCGGCCCTTTCTCCGTTTCTGGCAGCCTCTACTGAAGGGCCTGCATTCCAGAGACTTCACCCAGGCGCTGCTGGAGAAAATGTTTGCGGAGCTGCAGAAGAAGCCCGCTTATAGCCAGGCGGCGCTCCGTTCCCAGTACCTCATCACCTGGATAGCCAAAATTCTCAAGGCCAACATGCAAGCCAGTGAGTATGGTAAAGTGTTGGGGCCTTTCAGCCATATCACACACACACACACACACACAATGGGACCTACTCTCTCACTCTCACTCAGCTGGGGTTTATTTTAGGGGTCTGTCAGGCAGACATATGGATTCTGTGAAGTAGCTATCTGTAACTCCCAAAATGAAGAACTAAGAGGTTTGTAGTTGGAAATGTTTTATGTTTTTTGTTTTTAATCCCTCCATGTCCTTCAACTTGGTTTGTATTACACTCCGATCAGCCTCTGTTTGCTAGTCCCGGCACAGGATAGCCCACTCAAAAGGCCAGAGGTGGAGTATTGATTGATTTCAAATACTGTATTTCTACCCCCCTTTCTCCTTTAAAAAGACCCATGGCGGCTTACACCCTTGAAAGACAATATTTAAAAGCTGAAAACAGTAAGCATAGAAACGTTTAAAAGAATCAAACCAAATCTCTCTCTGTCTCTCTCTCTTCCGCCTCCCTTTCCACGGTTGGGCATCACAGAAAAAAAGAAAAAGAAGAGTCCCCTGGCATTGTTTTCCCGACACGTCTCCTTGCAGTGGTTGAAGCTTCTTGAAGACTGCCTGGAAGCCACCTGCTGGGCGAGTCCTCACCTGTTGCACCTGTAAGTATGGACGCGGGCTGCCTCGAAATGGGCTTGGTCCATCTTCAAGGCAGAGACTGTCCGTTCTAGAAACGCATCGTGATTCCTGGGCATTTGGGGCTAAAATCCCTACCTTGTGTCCTAACAAGCTGTATCGATTGATCTAATTTGATTCTTGTCCTGATTTCCTCCCTGAATGGAGACCCAAGGCATCATGCTCAAAAAATTAGAACTAACAATGAATTCAAACTCATTAATCGGATTTTAAATCACAATATATACATACCTAATGGACTGCTGGACAGCTCAGCGGTTCAGTTTTCTGGCTGCGGAGCCAGAGGTTGGGAGTCTGATTCCCCTCTAGGCCTCCTTGACCAGGGGCTGGACTTGATGATCTAGAGAATCCCTTCCAATGCTGCAGGTCTAAGATGATGATTAGCATTATTAAAACATTATTTTAAAACTGTAGGAACATTGGAGTCCAGGGGAAAGAGACCTGTTGTTTATCCCCCCTTTTTTTCTGGCCAGAATTCTGTCCGGCATGGACCCCCCTTTGCCCCCTGACTCTCAAGAGAAGCTGCTTTATCTCACTTCGATCTACACCCAAGACGTTGCTTCTTTTGCCAGCCCGGGCTCAGCCACGGAGCTTCACAAGCAGCCCATCTATACGGTGGAGAGCCTACAGTGGAAAATGAAGCACAGCGGCTTGGCCCGAGGCCTTGGCAAGAGAGCAAGGAGGGAAGAGACGCCACTGGGGGAGGAGGAAGAGGAGGAAGGAGAAAAGGGGGACGAGGAAGCCGATGACAACGAGGATGAAGAGCAGATGGACGCTCAGCCTGCAGCCAGAGATGAACCTTCCCTTGTGGAGAGTCCGGTGGCTTTGGCAGAGAAAAGGATGGCCCTCCAGGGGTCCGTCTGGCAGGTCAGCTCAGGTAAAAGGTGCTTTTTAGTTTGTCAGGCGGGGGCCAAGCGGTGTCGTGGTGCAGGAACTCCTCCTAATGGCCCTCACAGCCCATCCCCTCTTATGCCCCCCAAAACGCAGGCAGCTCAATCTGTACAGGTCAACAAAGGGTAGACAGATCTTTTGTAAAGTCAGTGGCTCTTAATGGCTTGTGCAGAATGAAAGGACCCTCCGAAAGCAGGGCGACGGTCTCCTGGGAACGTCCATTGCTCCGAGGATGGCAGCCAAGCTCAGGAGAAAGACTGGGTAAGGGTGGGGTGGGGTGGGGTGGGGGTGTTACAGCCCCTGCTATTCCAGAAGTCCTGGGGCTTTGACCCCGTGGGCCCTGGTTCCACCACATCACTGCCTGTGATCAAAGATGGGTGACCTGTAAGTTTTGGGGTGGAGGAAGGGTTAGGCTTTCATTGGGAGTTCAACGAGGTCTCCTTCTGACTAGAGCCTTTCTTCTTTTGCTGCAGCAACTGGCACCTAGCATCCCCCCTCCCCAATACACACCTCCTCATTTGTAAGCCCCACAACACCAGAGCAAAATTTCATAATTTATAGGGGCGTGCAAACCAACCTGAGTGGAACTAGTGACTTCTTGAGCTGCCCTCTGGCTGTCCTCGAGGTGCACCGATAGCCTTGCTCTGCCTTGTGTGGCTATTTTTCTCTCAATGAGTGCACATCCACCCCCCTCTGGGGATCATGGGTTGGGGAACCCTAAAGAGACCAAGATAATGTGCCCTGAAATGTTGTTTTGTCTCCGTCGAAGTGTTCCGAGAATGACAATAGAGCACAGCGTCTTCTTGACGGACCCAGTGCTTCAAGCCCGTGAAGCGTTTGCTTTGCCTTGATCCAGGTGTCTCTTCCCACAGACGGGGTGGAATGGAAGAGTTTTCCTTTGGGAAGGCTGCCTGGCCAGACGGATGACCCCGATACCCTCCTGGTAGACAACTACTCTATGATGTCGGCGCTTGATCAGGTGGTGAACAGAGACCGGAAAATCTCCCCAATTGCTACGTAAGTCACGCACTATGGGGTTTAGATATTTATGGGGGTGGAAGCCTTGTTTTTGCAAACTTTTATTTTGAGGCGCCGCACAAACTGGTGCAGAATCCACACGACGCACAGACGGATGAGCCTGGTGGAGAAGGTTGCTCGGATTCCGACTTCTCCGTGAGACAGAGGAGTGGTTGTCTTCCTTTCATGCAAATTACACAGCACGGTGCAAACACCCGCGCGGTTTGCGCAGACCCTCATCCTTGCCATTGCAGACACAGATCAAAAAGTGCCTGCCAGTCCCTGGCGGATGAGAAAAATAGCGTAGCAGGTCCTCATCCCCAGTTATCCTTAATGGCAAGAAATGCAGCATCTGAAAAGGAAGCATTCTTCCTGATAATGGTCACATTGTGCCTCTTTCATCAGTGAATGGATCAAAGCTTCCACGGTTAAGACTTCAGCCATTGAGTAGAAGCCCTGAGCCTGCTTATTGTGGGTCTTTGCATGCGCTCACCTGCGTGGCCTCGTGGCCTGCCTCACAACCCACCCGACTGAGGACCCGCATCTTCAAGTGGTGTTTGGAAACTACGCAATGTCTCAGAGCCTCTGCACCTTTCAGATCTGTTCTTTAGATGAGTTGGCGTCTGCTTTGAGCCTTCGCAACCCCCCTCCCCCCGGTCCACTCTTGGTATTTTTCCACCAAGCTGGAGGCGCTTGGCAGGTGGCCTCTAATTGTCCCTTCGAATCAACGTCACTAGGCTCGCTTCATTTTGTTCACCAGGAAGCTCACGCTGGTTGCCACAGCAGCTGCGACAATTATGGCCAATTAGAGCCATTCCGGCCAGCTTCCTGAAACGTTCTACCTCGTCAGGCGTTGCTGCCGTGGTGGTCGTTTTCTTGTGTATGGGGGTGCTTTTTGAGGAGAGAGGTTGGACATAGATCTCTGGGGCCTGGCTACCAGAGAAAGGAACTGGTTTCCTGCGGGCCCGCGTGGCCCCACATTTATTATTTTTTGGTGGTGCAGGATGAGCACAACACTTGAGCCAGCTCCAGGAGCGTAATAATAGTGCTGTCTGGGAAACTGGTGTGGGAAACTCTTCCAGTGAAGCCTGTTGCATCTTATAGGTTATCTTTCCAGGGCTGCTTGGCAGGAGTGGACGAAGCCAGGGCCGAAGTAGGCTGGGCTGCAGCCTTCTTTTCTTCTCCTCTTCTTCACCCACAGGACTGCCAGCCAACGTTCAAAATGCCACTGCAGCAGATCGAAACATTTACCCTCTTTGAGGGCTTTTGGAAATGGTTCAAGGAGCCCACAGGGTGTGGCCGAGGTGGGCTCACCTGTGCCTGAGAGGGCATCGGGACCCCTGTGTCTGAAAGGGATTGGTTCTGCGGATGCCTGAAACCGCAGATACAAGGGAACCCGTATGTGCAACATGCAAGGAAGGGAGGCACAGGCCACAAAGGGGTGCCCTTGTCTATAGGGCTGCAGCAAACCGCAGAGAAGTGGTACCACAGATACCGATCCTGCCGATGTGGGAGTCCTGCTGTAGCTGTTTTTTTCCATGGCTGACCATACAGCCATGCAGAAGTGAGCGTGGAGAGAGGAGAAAGCTCCTTTTTTGTTTCCAAGGTCCCAACTACGGTCTGGCTTTCACCATCTCTGCCATCTGACCTGAGCCCCTTGTAGGGCGAGGGTGTTTCTCAGAGCACAGGCTTGAAGGCCAGTCCCCGGCAATCACACCCGTTTCCTGCCTAAGTACAAGACAGGTTGTGACACAGAAGTAGGGTCAAAGACCTCAGCGGGCCCGTTGAGCTTCCCCATAGTGTAGGGTTGGGCAACCCAATGCCAGCAGGCCAACCAGCCCGGCCGGTTGCGAGAGAGCGAACGAGTTGGAATCCCAAGAAGGCCTTAAGTTGGCATTCCTTGGCTTGGTTGTGTTCCAGTTTAATCCAGGGACCCAAGAAGGAATCCTCTTGGTCTGTTTACTCAGAAGTAAGTCTCTCTGCACTCAGGGAGGCCCATTTCATGGCATGTTCCCTTAGGGTTGCGTCCCTGGATGTAAAAACCAGGGGAGAGAGCAAGGAAAGGAGTCCTTCCCCCATTTCAGCCAAGATAGCCAGTTCAGTGTGTCTCTCTCTGTTTCGTACGTGCACCCCGACCACCCTACAGCTTTGTTAAACAAGGGACCTGCAGAGATCTGTGATTGCCTTTTACTCCACTCTTCCATCAGCGGGCCAGTTCCCGACCCTCAGCCAAATCCCTGTCAGTTGCATAGATCAGATTCCGCCCAGAATCATGTTTGATCACCCCGGGAGATTAAACGTGGGGTTTCCCCCTTTCCACTTCTCTGAATCTTATTTAAACCACTCTTCTCTCTTGGTGTATTTATGGTTGTTCTGTTTCCTCTTTCTTCTCCTCCTCGGCGACACTTAAGTGCAAAGAATTTTGCCAGTTGTAAGAGGGGTCAGGAGACCTTGCTTTCGCAGTCGAGTGTCAATTTTCTGGTCCCCACCAAAGAAGAGGTGAATTATTTTGGTTATGGTTTCTCTCTGTCACCGGGGGTCTCGGATCAGCGGTTTCTGTTCCTCCTAGAGCTTCAGATACGCCGCAGAGGGACTGGGTTTTGCCCTCTCTGGTTCCCCATCTACTTGAGCAAACAAAAGAGGAAGGACTCAGTGGTGTAGAGGATGCAGCTGCTTTGCAGAAGGCATGGCTGTTGGATGCGAAAGTTTATCACATTAAGGGGTGGGTCAGAGTCTCCTGAGCTGTGTTACACTTAAACTGTTCAGAGCAATGCAGCAGAAACCTTACTTCTTGTTCCAGTGAGCAAAAATATGGTTTTGTAACATTCAGGACAGGCGCTAGAGCATCAGATCTTTTCAATCTGTATTTGCACCAGCAGTGCAAAGATGTAGAAACGGGTTGGGTGTGCTTGGTTCTCATCTGTGGCATGGGACAGAGAATTGCTTGGCTTGAGGCTTTCGGTGCAGATCTTGAATTAAATTAGTTGTTTGAGGTGGCAAAGTCCCAGAATCCCACAACTGGCAGAGTCATGCTTGGCTTGGAAGAATTTTGTGAGCTCCAGTCTGAAAAAAGATAATTTTCTGGGTTTCCTTTATGGTCCCTGAGATAGGTTAAAGGATCAGAATTCTGCTGCCCCTATAAACTGAATTTGATTCAGGTAGACTACACCCGAATGTGGTGGTGCTGTGGGCTAAACCGCAGAAGCCTCTGTGCTGCAGGGTCAGAAGACCAGCAGTCGTAAGATCGAATCCACGTGATGGAGTGAGCTCCCATCGCTTTATCCTAGCTCTTCACCAGCCTAGCAGTTTGAAAGCATGTAAAAATGCCAGTAGATAAATAGGTACCACCTCGGTGGGAAGGTAAAATGGCATTCCCTAGTCACGCTGGCCACGTGGCAACAGAAACTGTCTTCGGACAAGCGCTGGCTCTACGGCTTGAAAACGGGATGAGCACCGCCTCCTAGAGTCAGACACGACTGGACTAAAAATGTGACAGGAGGGTCTGGCGTGCTCTGGTAGACTACACCAGTTGACCCAACTCCGGGAGGCCGTGGAAGACAGGAGGGTCTGGCGTGCTCTGGTTCATGGGGTCACAAAGAGTCGGGCATGACTTAACGACTAAACAACTACACCAAGGTCATCTTTTGGGAAAGAGACTACAAGATTATAATTCCTACATCTCTGGCTCAGTTTTCAGAAGGAAGTTGGGCTTCAATGAGTGAAAGAATGTCCTGTAGGGGGAAAAAATTACACAGAGGTGTTCCAGCCCGTAGGGGGAAAACCGTTAATTAAATTGAACGAAACCTGTTACTTGTAAGAAACTCAAGGGAACTTAAGCTTGTTTCTGTGCCCAGAGGTGTATGGAATTTGTAGACCAGACTATAATTTACAGTTTGTGGGAGTACAGAAAAATGGAGAATTCAAGTCAGCAATTAATAAATAATGACAGGTTCAGTCTGAATGACCCCAGCTTGAAACCTGGTTCCTTTGAATTTCCAGTGGCCAGGACTGGAAGCTTCCTGGAACAAAAGAGGAGATGAGTTTAGGCCTTATCTTGTTTGATTGCAGTTAGCTTGCCCTCCCTCCAAGACGTGTATTTGTGTTTGGGATGACGTAAACTTTGAACATGACTTTACCTCTCCTGTCTGGCTCTAGGGAATTTCTTATCTCTGGGTAACTTTAGGGGAATTCTTAAGTAGCGTTCTGCCTTTTCCTGTTCATGCTTGTTGAAAGCACACCAGTGGCCTGTGAGGACTGGAAATGAGAAACCGCAGTCAACGCAAAGCAGACCTTTTGAGTCTCAAGAACCACCTTTGAAACAGACCCACTGGCCCCAGAAATTGCAGAGTAGAAATATACAAGGAAAAAGCTTTGCCTTCCCTGTCTGTCATCATGCTCTGTCTGACTTCCTTTCCATGCACTGAAATTATGGGACAACTTCCTTTAAATGCTCAAAAACAAACAAAAAAAGGGACCAAGTCATCTTTCTTATTAGTCCCTGGCTACCTGAAGATCGGCTGTAATCCACCACCCCTCCTTGGCATCTGTAGGAGGGCAGAGTGTGTCTGTACTCATTTTCTCATTATTTTTGTCCATTCGTTGGACTCTAAGTTACCTTCTGGATGCTGCTTTCTGAACCTGACAGTGAAAAAGCAGGACGTAAAATCAACAGCCAAAAAGCAGGAAGCAAATGCTTAATTCAACAAGATTTACATCCTAGCTGATACTAGGCAGCCCACGGAGGTTGATTTGAAAACTGTCAGCAGGTGTCCAGCCTAATATTTGCATTTCTGGGAAGCCGCCTGTCTGAGTTTCCAAAGAAAACACTAGCTACTAGACCGTAGCATACAAGTTTCTTCATGTCTTGCTTGTGCGTGCAAAATATAACCAGCCACACAAGCTCAGTAATAAATACACTTTATTGATCTATCTTTGTGTAGAGCAATGTATTCATGGGCAGCTTCCTTGGGCTCTTGCTCCGCTTGGCGGAAAATCTGATGCGGCCCAGCCTCACCCAGCCTCTACCTCTAGCGGCCCACAGGTAAATTGAGTTTAAAACCCCTGGTGTAGAGCAATGTATGGAGATGATTGGAGATGGAAGCCAAAGGCCTGATCAGATCACAGACCTTTCTGTTGCTCTAGAGAAGGATTTCTGATTCCCACCCATTCTCTTCTCAGGGCTGTTTGTGGAGGGTCAGCAAGTAAAAAAAGTTATAGGAAAGTCTGGCTGGACAGAGATTTCCCCGCAAAATTCCTTTTATGTCAGCCTGTGGCTTTCTTGGAAGAAACCTGTGCTCGTTTAAGCGCTTTGCAGCGAAGGCCTGGCTCGTACTGACTCAAATGGTGCTGGGTCACCCCGGAGCACAAGGCTCCTAGTTATTTATTTTATTAGTAGTATTTGATTAAGCAAAATGGAAGAGTATGACATCAGCTATGCGCCCAGCCCTGATAGCCTTGGAAATAAATTTTAAGTGGGGGTGGTGGGGGTGGTGATGGAAACACAGCTCACTCTTAGTTGTGTGTGTTTGCCGCTTGATGCAACTGTACTAAAAACTCTGACCCATTTCACGGGCACATGTGGAAGAAATCATTATGTATCTTTGTTCTTCTAGTCTCATTTTCATCCCTCTTTTTTTCCTCCTGCAGCACGTTGGAGTGGAGCAGCTCTGGTGCTGAGGGGCTGCTCTGGACCCAGAGCGAGCTCCATAAATTGAAAAGTGGCCTTCAGCTTTTCTGACCAGTGGATTTTCTCTGCTCAGAGGAATTTGTGGTGTGGAAAGTACTATCTTGCGGTAAAAGGAAAACGGAGGAGGATGCCTGCCCTTCTAAAGTATCATTGCAGCATAAGGGAGTTGAAGTCAACGATATTTTACCTCCTGTACATTTAATGAGGGAGGGAAGAATGTGTAGAGCCCATGCTAACAGCTTAACACATACACTGTTTAAGCTTATTTTAATAAAACGTCCTTTCATATTCTTTTTTTTTAAATTTTATTTTATTTGCTGTTAATACGGTACATGGAGATTTTTTAAACTGATAATTTTGGTATGCAGGGGACAGATCTGAAGAACCCTTCCAGGGCTGAGTTACCCTGTGGATTTACAAAAAAAAAAAAAAAAAAAAAAAGCCTTTTGAAATGAGCGTCCACCACTGTCGAACTTGAGATTTAAAAATGTTCAAACATATTTTTAAGAGGAGACCTGTAACAGCCGGGTTAGACTTTTGTCATGATAAATCACAAAGAGAAATACACAAGGTGATCTGGGTGGTAGTCAGCAAGTGACTGTTTATTGAATACATTGTGATAAATGCGTAGATAGAAAACAGCTACATGAAACCTGTTAAACAGTCATGGAATGTCTTCTTACAGGGGTGGGGGTAGATTATTTTTCCTGTAACAATCCTCTGCATTGTAGTTAAACAAAGACTCTGTCGGTGACCTGTCTCTGCAAGTGCTAAATCTAAATGCAAGAGAGAGGGAGCTTATCCAATGAACACGTATATTCTTTCAGTATGAAATGACAATGAAATTTACATGAGTGCACACATGCATGTGGCAAGCAATGACTCTACGGAAAAGAAATGCCCTCTTCTCAGTTGAGACCTTCCACCCGTTGACTAGACGCCGCCCAACCAGCTCTGCTGTTGGGGAACCTCTCTGTTCACTTTGGTGGGCTTTCAAGGCTCAAGTTGAAGCCCCTGGTTGTCGAGGTTCCCCGTCGGCAGTGCTAAGAAGGCCACGCCTTTAGCAGGACCATTCACAAACAACGAGAAACTAATGCTCTGATTAGTGAAACATTGATGTTTGGTACATGTGCTGCTTTGCAGGAAGTTATTTGGCAGGATGTAACCCTAGTGATTCACGTGGAGCTGACTGCTCCTCCCTCCTTAAAAACAGAGTCTCATAAGCATGAGTTGAGCGCTCCCTCTACCTGCCTAGGACTGAGGGACACTCTGGAGAGGACTGGGTGACCTCAAGCAAGACTCCTATGACTTCTGCGGTGTCAGAAAGCAGCCAAAGGGATGCTGGGCCCAGCGGAGAGGACGCTTCAGCCACCTTTGTGCTACGTTTCACAGGGACATCCGGACAACCAGCCTACGGAGGAAGGTTGCTTCTTGTCAAGCAAGGATCATGCAACGTACAAAGGCATTGATTCTCGCAGGAAAGGAAAAACTGGCTTCTACCCACCCTCAACTCCACAAGCTGATGTTTGGTGAGGTCTCTCAGCCTTTTCGTTCACAGAAACACTTTTTACAGAGGCATCATGCATGCGCATGCCATCAAATGCCTTAAAACATGCAGATTGTAGAGAGTGGAAGGTCCTGATTAGAGACGCCACATACTGGCCCCCGACTCAGCTTCAGAGTATTAGCGGCCCCAAAATGGGGGGTGTGTGTGCTTCCCCTTTAAAATCCCGTGATGCAACCAACGATTTCAAGGTTGGTCCTGGGACACACTTCCATTTCTGCCACACTTTGGAAACCCAGCCTCCTACACACGTCCTGCTGAATCGGGGCCATCGGCTGTCAAGTCCTCCCTTCATTCTTTGTCATTGAGACTTACGTTATATTTGGGTCAACAAAAAAACCCAAAGAGATTGTATAAATTTTTACAAGAACAATCAAACGGTAATGTTTGGTTCTACCAATAAGGAAAGCAAGTTACTGCAGCATAACAGTACAAGAACAAGACTTAACAGTAGTCCGAAGAACCTTGTGTGCACAAGCAAGCACAATATTAAATAAAACGATTATTTACAAAAATCACCGCACTCTAGCCAGCATTCCAAAACTACCCTTTTGGTTTTTCTAGACACACATCAGTTGCCAAACAACCTCACTATGAAGCACTCTTCAATAATAAATTACACAGAGTTGAAATAAATATTTTATAAGAAGGACATCACTGGGCCATTTTTTTTAAAATTAATTTATGGATACCTATGCTATAGTGGTTTGATACACAATTTAAAAAAATTAAATACTGTGCTCTCAAAAAGAGCATTTTAAAGCAACGTCTTCTATTTACAACAAAGGCGTCTGTGACTTATTTTTATACCATCCCTTCTACGTTAGAAGAAATGCTGCATTATCAGTTGACAGGGAAACATACTGCGTTCTGCACTGGTACTGGAAAAGTTTGGGGGAGAAAAAGAAACCAAACACATCAAAGTTTCACTGAAGGGAAAATGATGGGCAAGCAGGATTTCTGTCCTCCCCCTTTGGGGCAGTGGAGAAGAAAAGAGGGTCCCCTTTCTCAAGGAAAAAAAAGAGAGTGCTACAGTTCTATTACACTATGTCCTTTCTCCAGCAGTATTTCTCCCTGAGAGAGCACTCAAGAGACCTAACGGTTTTTACGAACAATATCTAGAACTCAACAAATAACTTTTACGGACAGCAAGAGTAAAATGTTTTAAACCTCAATAAAAAAAACCATCATGCATTAACTTCTGCTCTGCATCAGATCAGCTGAAAGGCTTTTCTGAAATAACTCTGGAAAAGTTTGTCTTAAAAATAGGAATAAAGGAAGAACACCCATTTTTAGAGAGAGATACACATAAAAGGTGATTTCCATGCAAAAGGTTGCGAGTGCACAAAATTTAACGCTAAATGTGACTTCAGGCACTACCCTGGCCCAAACGAAAGCAGAATTTACAGCAGTTCTACTGTCAGTAGTAGCTCCAAGTATAAATATTAATATCAGCCTTATTAACACTGGAATTTTACAAAAACAGATCATAGCAAGAATGCATTCATTTAATAAATAGACTTAATATAACTTATGCAGCCCGTAGTGCCCGTGAGTGCACACGCATATGCTGTGCACATTATACAGTAATAAAGTGAATTTCGAAAGCTGTGCATGTTTTATTCTATAAACTGTTACGCGCCCATTTTAAATAAAAAGATTCATAATCCTTTATGGGCTACTCTCCTGTGACACACAGTGTCACAAACATAGTGATGAAAATACGATATCGAAGCTAATCTACACATGGCTTTTTGTACAATTTTTTTATACAATCAAGAAAGAGATACAATTTGTATCAACAAACAAAAGGTCGTTTCTGGTTATTTGAGGCGTTGCTCTTGGCTGCTTCTACATCACACAAAAAACTTTTTAAGGGCAAAGACTTGACAAATAAGGGGGTCCCATTCAGATTAAACTATGCATTTGGAGGATCCATTAATCAAACCCCCATTTTTCTTGTTTAAATGCCAGGTTTTTTTTTTTAAATAATGACACACAACCTAAACCCCAGGGCCAGTTGTGTGCTTCCAAGGTGAAGTTCAAAAACACAGGGTGCTAAAATCTGGATTCATCTACTGATGCTCAGGATAACATGATGTGCCATCTCTGAACTATCTCAAACAGGCGGGAACAACGTGCTGGAAGCCAGCCTGCAATTCCAGGAAATGGAAAGGAATGGAAACGAAAGGGAAAAAAAAGTTAGCTCTGATTAATCCTAATGACTATAACACTTGGCATTTTAGAAGGCCTGGAAAACAAACCTTGACATGGTTGTGAAACATTCCCACATCTGGAAATGACCATCACAGCACATGCAAGCTTTTCCTGGAATGCCTTCCGGTTCCAAAGAATTGCTGCGATAGGTGAACCGATCCTATCATCCTTCATGGCACAGCATCCTCCCCTCAGCTCAGCACGAGTGTCAACAAGCAGAATAACACAAGCTTGCAAAGTTTCTTCTCGTTTTCCCACTGCTGTCGTACCAACTCTGGGTAAGAACACCACCGCCTGGGTCAGGGGGAGCCCAAACCCTCCACCTCGTTTTATGGCAGACAAAAGAAAAAGATAAAAAGGAAGGAAAGAAGGAAAACGAGGAGGGGAAGGGGTAAGTATAAGCTAGGGGTACAAGCAGGTGCCACTTAGCTGGCTGGCTAACTTAAGGTATGTTGACCTCTTTGGAGAACAACACCAAGTGCATTCATCTGATACAAAGCTGGAGCAGCATCGCCTGCGATCCTGAGCATCAGTGCAAAATTTCAAGTAAAGGATGCAGGACGTCATTTTGGGTCTCCCACCCCACCACTCCTGAGATTTAAAAAAATAAAAATAAACACAAAAAACTGAAAGCAGCTTGCAAGCCCTTATCAAAACACCAGAAACAACCCTGACGGCAGCCTCACGTTCCGTGTGTTTCATAGTAAGAAACATTTAGGCAGTGTCACACCTTCTCATGAAGAAACAAAAGGCCAGAAACCGGGCCTTCTCGACTTTCATGAAAAAAAACTACAGTAGAAGTCAACAAAGTCCTAGCTCGAGAACATATCGAGTTAGTCGTGGTTCAAAAGATTGAAATACACATTTGGATCTAAAAAGGGTCTTCCAGTCAGTGCAGCTTTGTTTAAAAAAAAAAAAACAACGAAAACGATAAAGCCACCACTGCCATAAATGCCTCTCGGAGGAGACACTGAGCTACAAAATTGCCCACCCCCTGAGCAGAAAAATACTCAATTGCGCAAAGATTGCCACCCAACAGAAGGACGACTCTGACCTTCCCAGGAAGTGAACACACACCTTTTGCATGGATTTCAAAGTGCAAACGCTTTAGTTGGCAGTCAAATCTAATTCCGGAGCACCCCTTCAAAAATGAGCTTGCCTTCGGCAACAATTAGGGTTTTTTTAAAGTCTTTTTTTCCCCTTAATGGTAGATCTGCATATCCAACCAGCACAATTTCTTGGCCTTTGGTGGGTCGGAAACCCCACGGAAAGGGAAGCCGAATCAGATGTGGAATGCTTACCACATTTGGCCTGCGATGAACTAGGTAGAATCAAAAGCTTGGAAACGCCAACAGCAGTATTTAGAACTCTTAATGCCACACCAATATTATCTGAGTATTATTTTAATTCCTTTACTGGCAAGCCGCTTATCAACAATACTGTTTTCCACCTGCAAGGATACTAGCTACAACTATCCGGATACTTCGCTATGCTTCAGGCATGTGCATGTTGGTTTCCCATCCCATCCTTTTAATGTTTGAGCAATGCTCTTCACTGCAAAGGGATACTTTGAGTGTGTGCAAAATGCCCCCCTCAAACATACACCAAATACCGGACATCTCTAAAGAGTCTCTTCATGCTAGAGACCCATTTAAAAAACCCTTTGCAACTTTGAGACAAGTCTACCGCTTAGACTAATTTCCTTACAAGCTTCTTCCTGTGAAGATTTTCATCTGCACGCATCCTTGGTTGAACTGGCCAATTAGTACTGAAAACTACACACTGACTCATGAAATGCAACTGTGTGCCATTTTGAAGGACCTGTTTTAGACCTACCAATCTGTGACCTTTTGGGTTCAACATATGGTACATCCATGCACAAGGTATGCACTTCCTGTCAAAAGCCATTTTTTTAAAAAAAATCCCTGCTTTAAAAATTTTTAAATACTCGTAATACAGTCTGCTTTTACAGAATGCTTCACACATCTTAAATAATTACTACAATAATATACAGACTTGCATACCACCGGTTGGAACTATTTACAAGCAAAGGATGATCTCTCGCAGACCTCCTCCACTGAATGCTTGCACAGGATTTTCCCATTAAGGACGCATCCAGAATGTGGGAACAGAACTTCTTTCTAACGTCCTGTTCTTAATTTGGCAACGATCAAGGCAGCCAGCTGTTGTGCATCGGTCACGTGGGGGTTCTTCTCCATAACCGAGAGGACCACACTTGCGGGGAAAATGTTACAGAGATTCTTATAGGTTTGATACTGATGCTCCGGGATGATGTGCGGCTCCTGGAGGTCGCCACAGACCCCGACCCAAGGGTTGCGCCACAGCTGCTCCATTTTCTCAGGCATGCTCCTCACCATGACCGGCTCGTAGCACGGCTGCATGAGGTTGTTGCTCAGCGGATAGGAATGGTAGGCGTAGGTGTCGGTCGGGCACGGCAACGGGTCCCAACTGGCGTGCTGCTCTCGGCAGAGGGGCGGCCTCTTCTGCCGCGTGGGGTTGCTCTCGTACAGCCGCGAGTCAGAGATGCTGTCCATCCTCGTCATGACCAGGGCCCGGCTCGGCTGCGGGGTGGCCGACGGGTGAGCGTTTGGGGGCCCGGGGTAATCCCCCGGGCAACTGGACCGTGCCCCAAGGACCGGGTGTTGGGCGTGCAGAGCTAAATGGGAACTCGAGTGCTTACGAGGAAGAAGTTTAGACCCTTCCGTGCCGTAGCTCTGAATTCTCGTTAAGGCCTCGTGATAACCGTGAGAGAAGGGCTGGAGGCGGGTTTGGGGCGGGAGCCGAGCCTTCACATTGTCTTCAGGGTTTCCATCTCCTACACCCAGATACAAGTCGCTGTACGAAGAGTAGGAATCGTTGCTTGTATGGCTGAGGCAACTGTCGGGACAGGGGCTGGAATTCCTCGAGTACATGCCTTGGTCCACATCCGCCCCGTAATAATCGGCATTATGCACGCTGCTGATGCTCAAATTGGAGAAGTCGCTGAGCATGGAATAATAGCCGTGGTCTCCCAAAGACTCGTATTTTGGATACTGATCTGTGTAGCTGATGGATGTGCCGTGGCTGTTGGTGACCAGGATGGGGGGATACTGCACACTGGCCATATGCTCCAGGGAGGATTTCTGGTGCGTGAACTGAGAGGAGCCCGGAACGGGGCTGCTGGCCGACCGAGTATTCAGCGCCCCGACAGCGTGGCTTTTGGAAGCAGGGATGGTTGGGACGCTTAACGCCGAAACGAGGGAAGGGACGGAGCTGGCCTCGGACTTCCGCGCCATCGACAGCCTGTCCTCCGGCTCCACGGCCACGGACCGGATGCTCGGGTCGGACTGGCGTTTCGGAGCAATGCGCTTGACTTCGGAAGCCACCTCGCCTTTGGAAAGGCCCGTCCCAGTTCCGCATTTAGCCAGGGCGCCTTCGCTCATCGTCTTCCCCGCAGATAATCTGGCACTGATGCGAAGCTCGTCTGCCACGGATCTCAAGGGCTGGTTGGCTCGTTCTGGGTGGTAATATTTACATTTGTGCCCGTAGGTACACTTTTTCCCTGAGAGGGGAAGAAACTGTTCAGACTAAGCATGACCTTCGCAACAAACCTATCTTGAGCAGCAAGATATGCACCTCTAAGCTGTGCACCTCTAACTAACCTGAAGTGCCTTTCTCACTGGGTTGAAAAATATGTTCGGACCCTGAATAACCTCTAGTTTCATTCCCTGCCATTTTTTTCTCCAGTGATGTGAACCATTATTAGCAGTTCTCTAAAGGATGGAGAGCCAAACCAGATGCAAAAACAGACATATACATGACTGCATGGCTGTTTTTTTGTTATTTAAAGAGCAAGTGCCAAGGAAAGAACCAGATCCAGATTGGAGCTGTGCTGTGTGAAGGAGAAGGGGTTTAATCTTTTATTCCCTCAAATACAGTTCCCACTTGAATGCCCCTCCTGCGACCCCCTGTGCTTCTAACTGAGTAGAAAACGGAGCATGCCAAGGGCAAGTCACAAGCCCCCATGTTGTGTCTTGCTTGACAACGAGACACAGAAGCTTTTCCTTTGCAGCAGGTTCTACCCACCTAAGTGAAACATGCCTCCCACACATTCTTGCCAAGCTGCTACCACTGACTATCCCATTCAGCACTGCTAAAATAACTTCCTGCCAACAATCACAAAGTCAGGCGATTTGCTATGACTTCTGAGTTTTATAAATGGCACTGATTTCTGACGCTGTTCTCTCAAAACAGTGAAGCAATGTACGTACACTCACCGTAAGGACACGGCTGTTTTTTGTGTTCCGGAATGACAGGCTTTTTCCTTAAGAAGTTTTCAAGGCTAGGGCCATGGCGTCCTAAGGGGTCATCAGGAGGCATAAACCTGGGGGGGGGGGGGAGAGAACAGGCGAAGGTTTACTGCTTGTAGTAAAATGCGAGGATAGAGACACCAACAGCATGTCAGGAAATCCCTGGTTCTATTCTTGTCACATAGATGATCTTATCAGGGCGTCACAGGAAAAGTCCCGCACTCTCTGCTTTTCCTTCCCCCAAACCTGTAAAGCCTGCTGGAAAAAAATGGGCAAAAGCCAACCAGAGCACTGATGGCCCCATTTCTCAATCAGGAAAGTTTAAGGGGCTTGCAGTTTTTCTAGTTTAGAACAATGCTTACAAATTGGGGGAACGGAGCGATGAGAGGGGAATAAAACATCTACATGATTTTAGAGCAGTCGTTTCCAACCTGGGGTCCCCAGATGTTTCTGGATTACAGCTCCCAGAAATCCCAGCAAGCAGTGAGTGGCGAAGGCTTCTGGGAGTTATAGTCCAAGAACATCTGGGGGGGAGGTCCACGTTTTGGAACCATGGCTTTAAAGGGTTGCTGAACATGTTAGTGACAACACAGGCAACACACTCTGAATGCACAAGTACTATATCACCAATTCACAGAAATATTGCACATTTGTAAGGTAAACGGAGAGAGGACACCTACTTGTCATTCACAAAGGAATACATCAGCAAACGTTCCTCAATGAATTTCTTCCACTCGGGCTTTTCGTTCTGCAGGTCGCGATAATTGTCATTGGACACAATGATGCCATCAGAATCGTAAGCCAATTTCACGATGAAGCGATCGTCATAACAGACCACCCTCCTCCCTTGAACTCTCCGAGAAGGGGTGAAGACCAGAATTTTTTCTTTCTCCAGTTTGTGCAAAATTTCTTGATCTGTAAAATCAGGTCAACAGACACACCTGTTAAAATCAAGGCACCGAGGTCAAGAAATATTTCCTGAAGATGGTCACGGCTTGCAGATATCAGCAGGTGATCCTGCTGACAGGTTTTAATATTGCCCCCTTAGAGGATGCAGCTGTCAGCTGCATTCAAGTACTGTTAGGGTATTCCACAGAAAAGAGGCAATAATCTGTAGCCCTTCTGACCAGGACGAGCTTCTGCTTTTCATACCACGTATTGTACAGACCTGTCTTCCCTTGGACTTTCCCAATACTACATTTCCCCCCTATCATAATATGCATGATCTTTTGGAACAACTTATAGAGACTGTAGCAGGGACTCGGGCAACTGGTTGTGGCCCATGTAAACTGCTTTAGGACAATACTGAGTGAAGGACTAAATTGCTGAAAAAAGGGAAAAACGTTGGAGGATGCAGATGCTTGAACAGAATTATTAAAATCAACAGGGCAGGACTTGTCAACAAGCAGTTAAACTCCATGCGAATTTCAGAGAAACTGTGGGGCACCTGCCCTTCTCTGGATCACACCAGTATTAACAAGTTTACTACATGGAGACTGGCTTGTTTTCCCCAGTCAACAACAGTGAATTCCATTTTTTGTGGAGAGGAATGCCACAAGCATGTTCTGGACTCACGAACACGCTGAGATTCTTCCAAGCTAGTAAATCTTGATCCTCAGAATATGCTACAGCCACATGACAGGAAAACAGAGCTGCCTTTTGGCATTTCCCAACAGTGTAACGTTGGCATGCAAAACATAGTAATTTAGAGACCTTTTCCCAGGAGTCTGCAAAGTATGACAATATGCCTATTTATGTTTCAATATGTGTCCCATCTTTAACCTTGGTTCAAAAGCTGTGGGGTAATAGGATTTTTAAAATTCTGGAGTATGGAATACACAAATTTCAAGAGGCAAGACACATTCAGTGACTTAGAACAGGCCCCAATACTGGCTAAGAGGAAGAGACGTGTTTCTTGTAGATGTCTGCACACCTGAGAGAGCCAGAGAAAGAGAATAATCTCTCTCATGCAGAATCATCATCAAATCAAAGCTCTATTCAGGTTGTATTCAACACTTAAAGAAAGGGCCCCGAAACCCTTCCTCCATGGGGAAAATGCCAACTTCGAAGAGCAAATGTTCTTGTTCATGTGGAGGTACTCCTTGGGAGCAACAACCTTGAGCTTCCAACAGTCTTATTTGTGTAGAGCAGTGGTTCCCAACCTTGAGTAACCCAGATATTCTGGGACTACAACTCCCAGAAATCTTGGCCACCACAGCCAGTGGGGAAAGCTTCTGGGAGTTGTAGTCCAAGAACATCTGGGGACCCAAGGCAGGGAACCACTGCTTTAAAAAATGCCACTAATATCCACCATTGTGGCACTTCTTCATCTCAGCAGCGGCAACTGTTTCACCAAGAAAAAAAAAGTAAGTCCTCATTTGAGTGCCTACCTGTAATGGGTGCATCTGGTCGTGACTGCTCTTTCCTCCATGCAGGCACAAAAACTGTAATATCTTTGTGACCTTTCTCCAGAAACCAGTCAACGGCCAACTGAATGCCTCGACAAGAAAATCCTTCTTTATTCCCATGGCTGAAAAACAGAGTGAAGTGATTCAGCTACCCTTGATCTTAAGCACTGTGATTTTACTTGCTTTCTAAAATACCTAAAAACAGACAAGCTGCTAGATGGCAGCCATCAGAGAGGTAGACGTGATGAGGAAGGTAAACGTTAGATTCCTGCTCAGCCACAGAGCCTACCTGGCGGTCACAAACCTGTCAATGGGGATGCTGTCTTACTGGTGATGAGCAATGTGTTTGTACTCTTAACCGCTACTAGAGCAGCTACATGGACCACAAATCTTTTGCCCCCAGTTTGTTCAACCTGATGGCAGAACCCAGCAGGAGCCAGCGCTCTGGCTTGTTTCAACACCTGAGTTTGTTCTGAAGGCACCTCTCCGGCTTGCTGAAGAAGATACCAGCTGAACGCCTGTTCTGACAAGATCTGACACATCACTAAATAACATACAGAGGGAAGCTTTAAAGTTTACTAAGTTGCAGCCACGGCAGGCAAAAAGGACTGGATACCGTACATGGCATGCTTGCTTGTCCACAACAAGCCCAGAATCCTTCAGGATCCTGCCTTGTTATGATGCTCCCTGTTTCTTATTCCAATTATCTTACAGATGATTGGGAAGCTAAGCAGCAAGAGCACAGTCTGTCTGTGTCATGATTTCCATAGTCTGTAGAGGACTCTAGGAATCATCCTGACTTTTATAGACGATTGATTGGATGAAATGTGAAATTAAAAGAGTTACACTGATGGCTATAGTTTAGCAAATAATACGAAAAAGATCCGGAAGACCACTTATACATTTCATAATATTTTTTTGGAACAAAACAATAATTTTAGTCAGTTTTAAGAGGACCTTCCTGAAACACTGCTGATTCACAAATGTATATATAGAGCCATTACAGAATATGAACAAAGCTTTGAAAAGTTACTTAAGTAAATGCTATTCTTACCAGGTAAATGTAGGTCTTTGAACATTAAAGTCAGATTTTCCACAGTAGCATACTGCAAGAAACTTAGTCTTAAGCTTATCTACTCACAGATAAGACCCCATCAGACTTACTTCAAAGTACGAATAGATTACAATCCTAATAGCTATGTATGAATACCCTCAAATCTGAGGTATTACATACATTAATGAACAAAACTTAAATTCATCAGTTTTCACAAACTTTGTAAGTTTCAATGTCTGAAAATATTGATCTGCTTACTCTTGCCGATTCATATCTATTGTCATGCTGATCTGTATTTCAATTGTGAGAGTTTATTTATTGAATAGACCCATGTTTTATGACAGTATTTTAAATAAAAGAGACGTGTGGTGTAAATAGCTAGAATCCTATTGCGCTGCTCCGCTGATGCAGCAAGAGTGAGGTCACGGGCAGTGGCAGATTGCTAATTAAAGAACCCCTGTTTCCATTTCGGGGTGCATGTGACTTCCTTTCATTATGCATGAGTAGCACATGTCCCAACATGAAGCAGGGACTCCTTAACTAGTGGCAATCCATTGAGGCCACTGACAACACTCCAGGGCAAGCAGTTATGCAACAGGATTCTGACAAGCACAACAAAATAAAATTAAAGAAACAAATGGAGCACAATGGATGCATTCTTTAAATACATTCTACTAGTGCCAAGCCACCTCATTGCCACGTTGCTTCCATCAATGACGATGGGTCTCAAGTTGTCCGAGCTGTCCACCACTTCTTCTTCCAGAGACAGCTCGGGACTGGCCGTCTCCTTTGTACCGGTACCAGCCGTGCCGGGGGTACTCCTGGTACTGGCTTGCCCTTCGTTCTCAGCCTTGTTTCCAAGTCTCACAAGCTCTGCCAAAATGTCATTAATGAGAGCGTCGGGCCCCAGCTTGTTCAACACAGCTTGGATCTGATCTCCTGCGTATCCCAGTTTTAAAGCAAAATCAATCTTAGCTTGGTATTCTTTGTTCGTGTTTGTTTTATCGTCTTCCAGTTTTAGATCCTGAAGGAGGCTGCTCTGGGAGAAACTCGGTCGATCCAAGCACGGAGAGCGGCAGAGCTGACGATGGGGCTTGTGGGGCATCTCCTTCCCCGGCCGCAGCACGGCACTGCAGCTGTTCCTGGCGCAAGGCTGTTCAGGCTCACTCTCCGAACTCGTCCATTCGTCCGACTCCGCGCTGCAAGGCCCGCCATCCTGCCCGGCCGTTCTGTCTTCCTGGGAGCGCCTCTTCTCCATGGTCAACCTTTCCACCATAGACCAGGCCGTCATCACGGTTACCTTCAGGCCAGGTTACTCCCCAAGTTTCCTCGGTGCTGAGACCATCCCGAGTCGGTGCTCCGCTACGAAGTCACACCAGTGACTTGAGAAGCTGCATTTGAGAGCTGGTACACAGAGGGCTGATCGTACGTTCCTTGGAACAAGGAAGAGCTGGGGCGGGGGGAGAGAGAGAAGGAACATATGACACACGGCATTAGCTTTTATTAACTAATGCAAAACAATGAACGTGCTTACGAAACACATTTTTATTCGATTTTACTGTTCTGTTACGGTTTTCTTCACAGCAAATTTAGTTCCATTGCCCCCATTCTCCCAGTGACTGCATCAGAGACAGTAACAGCAATTACACTTGCACCGCCCACATACCCAATTCACTACTGAAGTCAATGCATTGTCAGATAGCTGCCTGTCACAACATCAGTCATGAATTAGAAACCATGTCCCCAATGTGGAGAAGGGAAAGAGAGATGTGCTTGAACCCCCGCACCCACATGCTGAAAAAACTATGTTATGAGTCTACACGGTCATATCGTGCAGCTCTGACTACCTGCCAAAACACCTGGGAGTCACACAGTCGGCTCATAGGTGCCGATGGCTCTTCTCAGTGATTCGCCTTGGAAGGAACTCAACTTTAATGTCGCCTTCTCCAATGTGGTGCCTTCTGGATGTGTTCAACTACAAACTCCGTAAATCCCAGCCAGGTGAGCCAATGACTGTGCTAGCTGAGAATGAGGGAGCTGAAGTACAGTACCCATGGAAAGTGCTAGGTCAGGGAAGGTTTTTAGTCAGTGTACCTTTGAGGTCTGAGACACATCTTGCTGAAGGTGAGAGGTGGGCATATGCCAGTGTCTAAGGATGATCAAAACTTTTTTGTACTCCCTACTGTTTTAGGGGGCTAAATAAATTTACTGTATTTTTTGCTCTATAAGATGCACTTCCCCCCCCAAAAAAAGTGGGGGGATCTGTGTGTCTTATGGAGCGAAGCTGGTGATTTCACCCCCACTGGCCCCACGGGGAGGGGGGGAGAAAGGGTGAGCCTCCAAAGAGTCCTAGGGTGTGTTCCATAAGACGGACCTCTCCATAAGGCTCACCAAATTTTTAGGAGAAGAAAACAGATTATTATTTTCCTGTTTTCTTCTACTAAAAATTTGGTGCGTCTTATGGAGAGGTGCATCTTATGGAGCAAAAAATACGATATTTTATGTCACTGCTGGCATAACCCTTAGACTAACAGGATGACATTTAATATTAACAGGAGTTCTGTTAAATCAGTTATCCACTGATCCGGGTATAAAATGCACCCTAGCAGGAATATAGAACTAAAACTGCTGTTTATTTTTAAAAATCTCAATAAGGGATAAAGCTTGGTGGTTGCTCTAATAAAGACACAGCATGCATCTTATAACACATCTGCCAATTCGTTGTGGCAGCATAAACGTCCACACAGGACTTCAAGAGCAGAATTACTTACCAAAAACAAGAAGTTTCTTCTAGAAAAGCTATTTACTTTTATTAACATTTTCAAAAGCACCTTTAGCCCCTTCCAGGACTTTTCCTCAGCTTGTTCAAAACGCAATGGTTAGCTCTGCTCGCTTCCTCAATTAAAATCTCACCAGGCACCTACCGGCCAAGCCCTATCTGCCTGCGCATTTGCATCTCCGTCCCAACTAGCTTCTTTAACATCCAAGCCCTCCCTGGCTCACTTCTTTATTGGGTCCAGCAGGCTGGCTCCTTTTTTATTATTATTTTTTAGCCCAGCTGTCTAGCCAACCTAACTTGGTCTAAATCCAAGCTTATACTTAAGGTGTCAGCCCTTTCCTTCCAAATCCTCACTCCCACCGGATGGGCTGTCACTCTTCCTCCACTGCACCGGGTAAAGGAATCTTTAGGAGGATGGATCATTGACCATCACAAGACCTTCATTTGTGCTTCCTTCTACCCCACAATCCAGCCACATTTCCATCTAGATACAGTTTAAATGATATTCTACAGATATAACAGACTCCATCTAGATACAGTTCTATCATTTTAACTGTTTAAATGATATTCTACAGATATAACAGAACTGTGTTCATCCATGGGACCAACACAGCTGGCTCGATAGCTCAGTGGCTTAAGTTTCTGGCTGTGGAAGTTGGATTTCCCAATTTGTCTCCCAGGGGAACAGCCAACCTGGGTGGCCTTGGACCACCGGCACAATCCCAGAAGCACCCCCAGAAGAAGGGAAGGGGAAACCATTTCTGAGTGCCCTATACCTAAAAAAAAAAAACACCCTGGAAAGGGTCACCATAAATCAGAATTGACTTCATGGCATGCAATTATGATGATGATGAGCCCAACACACACTCTCCTCCCCAGCATTTCTGTCTCCTATCCTCTTCTGGGGGTTCAGTATGAATCCTTGCAGCTACCAATTACCTCTAGACCCTACAGAGGTTCATAGGGACCAATAAGGCAAACGTATGATAGACTAGCAACATAAGTGGTAAGGGGGAAGGGAGACATTGGACTATCAGTTTTCATAGAGATTGACCCAAGTAGATAGAAGTTCTGAATTCTGGTGACTGCATGCATGTTATGTCCAACCAACCAATTTCCCAGCAAAGGTGGGGGGGGGGGAGACTGGCAAAGAAGTACCGCTAATAATCCTTTTTTTTCCCCCTTTCTGACACGTGGCCAAGGAAAATTGAACTTAAGAAATAAAGTACCGCTGATAATCTTTTTTTCCCCCCTTTCCAACACATGGCCAAGGAAAATTGAACTTAAGAAATAAACAAAGCAATTGGGAAACTCCAAGAAATTACAGAACGGTGTTTTGCCATCTGGAATGCTTTGCTCATTTCAACTTTAAAACACATTATGGCCCTTGCTTTCTGATACAGAAATTGGAAAGGAAGCAGCTGAGTAAGCCGATCCCTCCTTTAGCAATCCAGACGAACTATGCAAATGAAGAGGGGGAATTCTAAGTCTAGGAAACACATTTATGTGTATGGGGCTTGTTTTCATTACGACATCTACAGATGGAGAATTACACCAGGCAGACTTACTTCCTCCTGCCGCTGCCACCGATGACGGTGTGGCCGTTGCAAGGATCAGCAGACGTATCATCAGCCACCTGTGGGCATTCATTACATAGACTGACTATTCAAGTGACACCTTGAGAGACAGAAGACCCCAAGAACAACAGGACTGCTCAAGTGACACCTTGAGAGACAGACAGAAGACCCCAAGAACAACAGGACTGAGGGAGATGTCATCTTAACTTCACTGTCTCCATCAGTTTCACTACTTATTCATCTTCACTGTCTCCATCAGTTTCACTACTTAAGAGTCTCTCCTCTAAAGAAGCTCCCAATATAGGCTGGGAAAGAGCTAAATGGGAATCTATCACATGCACGACTAGCAGGGCTGGGACACCCATCTATGACAATAATCAAATCAATTATAATTCAAGTCACTCGGTTTTAAGTTAAAACCTCCATGGAAAGAGCAGTCTACCTTCCTAGGACACCACTGTGAAATCACTGGACAGTAATAGGGCAACGGAGGGTACTTTGCAAACAGTCTGTCAGAAAGGACCGTTATACCCCTTCTTGGGAATCAGGAAACCTTTGCCCTACAATTTTGCACTTTTCTTTCTCTTTACACAGTAATTTTACCCAAAAATTGAACATTTCTTTGGATAGGCAAACAACACTTAAGAATAGTTTTCATTCGTCACAAATCGCATTAAGTACCCTGAACTTTGCAAATTCACCAAAAACAGATGTAGATGAAATTCTACACTGGCTGAAATCTAGTGTAAGTGGCAACTACAGCAGGCCCATTGAATCAGTAGGGATTTGGTGCATCAACACCTATGCAAGTTCCACTGATTCAATGGGCCTATTCAAGTTCTGACATAATACCAGATTTCAGTTACTGCTTACTACACATATGACTGTTTGTGGAGCTCATACAGGTTTATGGCAATATACGTACATGGAACGTAACAGAAAACATGGTGGCCACCCTGTGGCCCACTGGCAGCATCTGGTTTTCCCCTGGGGCACTTCTGTGGTCTCCAAGGGGACCCCAACGTCTTCCCCCCCAAAGGAAAAGAAATTAGAGTGGGGGGAGACCTACTTCTGCTCCAGAAGGCCCCCAGGGACAGTAATTTTCACTTTAAGGACCTCAGGTTGGCAGTTTAAAAAAACTTCCCTTCAGAACAGGGGGAAAAAATCAGAAACAATGTCTGAAATCGACAGAAAGTCAGTGATACCCAAGTGCCACTAAAGTAGGAACTCACTGTTTCTGTCAAAAAATTAATCTGGGTTGGAAGGATTATGACCTCAGAGGTACCTGTAGGCTTCCCCACTTGTACTTTCTGCACTATCTCAAATTATCAGTCTGTGCAGTTAGGAGGCATAGTTACAGCTGCTCAAACGTTATTAAGAACAACTTTAAAACTTGCACAAAAGGAGACACCAGGACATACAAAGCAAAGCAGAGAAGACAAAACAGAAATGCAATTGTAAGTAACGGTGAAAATTTCCAGATAGACTTATGAAGAATCTTTAAATCAGAAATTACTTTGTCTGTTCTAATGATGATGATATGCTGTCAAGTCAATTCTGATTTATGGCAACCCTTGTCAGGGTTTTGCAGCGGAGCTCGCTCAGAAGTGGTTTCCCATTCCCTTCTTCTGGGGGCATTTCTGGGGACTGTGCAGCTTTCTGAAGGCTACACAGGATGGCTCTGCTCGCAAGAAGCAAAGTGGGGAACTGAACTCACAAACTCTGCATACACTGCTGTAATTGCTAGTGAAGTCCCAAGGTAACAGTTTGATCAAGTATTATTTGCACTGCTGAACACCTTGTTTGTCAGTAACTATACAAAGTTCTCTGCCTCTAACATTCTCTTGTGCCCCTTGCTATGAAGATGAAGGCTAAAAAATACAGGACCATCTCTTTTTTATACTTAAAGCGAAGGCATAACTAAGTCTGGAACTGCTCTTCTACTGCGAAGCAACCTAGAGAGGACACACCACCCGTCCCCGCGTATCTCCAAATTGTTTCCGCAACATAATTTTATTCTCACAGAAAAAGCGAAAGCATGCAAAATGCAATACTAACAAGAATACAAACAACTGGGAGGAATTTAAAGGTTCAGGCTTTGGCAGGTGGAGGGTTAACTACTTTTCTCCCCACACTTTGTCCATTTGAAACTGTCCACAAGTGTGACTCGCAGACTTTAAAAGCAGATTAAGATCTACCTCCAAGCACCCAGCCATACTCACTTCCGAGGGCCTTTAATAACGACACCAGCTCCGCTGTCATCCACGCTGAAGACTTACACGCCTAGCACTGTGCCGCCAGGGCTGCGTCTGTCTGCGTACAGGGGTTTTCTATGGATGCATTACGAAAGCTGCTCTCTGCAGAAACACACCCACTTCCATGACTCACTGGAGTTTCTGCAGCTGCTTCTTTTTTTTAAGTGTCAACTTAGGTTGAGAAGCTAATAAGAAAATTCAGCTGTGTCACTTTCCCCATTAAACGGGGATGGGGAGGGGAGGGGGAGGCCGAGTCATGTGACAAGAAGCATGACTGCCTCTACATTAATGTTTACGAGGCATAATTATGTCTTGTTTTAATGAAAAGCATTCCTGTGCCATTACTACATTTTGAGAAACGGACGGGGGACTGTGTTTAGAGCCCTGCCAGTCTGGATTCCAACTGTTCCAATGAACTTCCACACTTTTGCCTGTGTGCCCCCTGCCCACACACACACAAACACACGCCCACACACACACACCTAGAATGACACGTTTTGGACCCACTGAAGTATCCGAACCCCCACACTTTTGCCTGTGTGCCCCCCGCACACGCACGCACACGCACGCACACGCACACACCTAGAATGGCACGTTTTGGACCCACTGAAGTATCCGAACAATGCTGCCTATCTCTGAGTATGAGAAACAGAGTGGCCATTACATCCACTTGGGGTCCAGTCTGTCCCTGGTTTCCACTGCAAAGAATTTCCTTGACCTCATGGGGGTTTCCTTGCACCACATGTGCACCACATGAAGAACATGTATGAACGTGCTATTGTGTTGGTGGGCCCTCTGCTGGTCTTGGCACCCCATGACACCCTCCCGATGGCCATTGTGCAGGGCGTGCTCCAATTATGGGCATCAAAAAATGAACAGGATATGCTCTCTTTGAAGGATAGTTCATTATTTGCCCACACTTCAAGGTCCTGGGCCATACAAGCATGCTGTAAAGTTCATGTGGTTTTTAGAGCATCTTTTGCAGCCTCTGGGCTATCACAGCACTTTCGCCAAAACCATTACAGTACAAGGCAATTCATCAAACCTTTTGAATCTAACCGAGAAGCTCCAACCACAGGAGAAACATCCAGCAGTCACGTCTCTCAAGTCTGAAAAATGCAGATTGTTCCCATCTTTCTCCTTCTGTCCATGGTACATTTGTATCTTTTGAACAAGAATCCACTGTGTTTTTAGGTTTCACAAAGGACATTTTCTGGTGTTCAAGCTTGTTGGACTAACCATCTTTGTTGGCAGGACAGAAGAAGGATGCCCAAGGTCAAAGTTCTTTACTGCTAAGCTTTCATCCCTCTTCTGCAGCTAATAATAGGAATTCAGAAATAACCAACTTCTGTATTATTTGCTGGGTTACCTGCCTCCTTCATGGGATACCATGAAGTCTGGTACTGCTTATATAAACTATATACAGTATATATATAACAATGACAATTAAAATGGAGACATCAAACAATGGCCAGAATCCTGCAATGAGAATAGACTCACTGGCTCAGTGATATTTACTAGCTGCCTTGGGTCCTTTCAAGGAGAAAGGTGTGGTAAAAATGTTTTACATGGTTTATTTAAGTTCTGAATTTGTTTGATACGTACCATCAAGTTGGAACTGACATAATGATCTCAAGAGGCATTCCAAGGTAAGTGAGATATTTAAGGAATGGCTTTACCAGTGAGTTTCCATAGCTGAGCAGGAATTCGAATCCAGGTCTCCTGAGTCCTAGCTGGTCACTTTATCCACTATACTGCACTAGATATCTAAGTGCTGAATTATCATCCAGCCTCGTGGCGCAGTGGTTAAAACGCTGTACTGCAGCTAAAACTGTGCTCACGACCTGGGGTTCAAATCCCAGGTAGCCGGCTCAAGGTTGACTCGAGTGCTGAATTATCATCCAGCAATTGATTCAACAGCTGATAGCCAGTAGTAAGTTGCAATTAGAGTAGGCCTACTGAATCTGTGGGAATTTGGTGAGCTAACATCTATGTAAGTTCCACTGCAATGAGTCTACTCTAATTGTGACTTACTATTGGATTTCTGCTTATAAATCTACTTTTAATTGAGATTAGTCATTAGTACACTGACCTAAATGCAGTAAGTTGATAAAACTTAATTTGCAAACAGATCATGGTTTAAAAGATACATGAACATCACCTAAATCATTACTGTAAATAGATATGATTATTCCCCTGCTGTAGATAATACTGTCTTTCATTGTATGTGACAGTGCTAAAAAAAAGAGTCAAACTATAAACCATTTCAAAGCTTTAAACCCTTGTACAATAATACAGACTCTCTTGTACAAAACATATTTTGAATCCCAATGAAGGAAAGGGGGGAAACAGTACTACAACCTTCTAAGTTGTGACATGAAAATATTTCATCACTCAGAAGGGAAAACTCTGCACTACAGCTTTAAGTGTTTAAGCCTCTGATGCCCATTGCTTAGCAACCGGGCATCCTTACCTAAACACCGCTTTTCAGGAGAGTCACGACTGACTGGCGGAGTTGATAATGCAATTCAGAAGGAACATGTATTTGAGAAGTGCTTGAATTCTGTTCACATAGTGCTGTGTTTCAAGTATCAATACACTTTTCTGTACAATAAAATAAAGAGAAAGCGCTTTCCCAGTAATTACATTCTACAAGATTATAAGATGATGGAAAAATAGTAATTTTTCAATTGCATGTTTTCCATTCTGGCTTTAGAAGCATGAAGGCACAAGGACAGCTAAATCACGGTGTACAGTGGTGTTTTATACAAATAAAGGCACAGGGGGAAAAAACATATCCAGAATCCCCCAGAGGACATTTGAGGGAATCACTCAGTACTGTACATATAAGGACATGATATATATGCCAAAGACTTTACAGCTGCCCTTGAACATTCAAAGTCCAGAGAAATCAATAGGAGTTATCCACAGGCAAGTTCCACGTAGCCGAATTCTGTTCCCAAAAAAGCCAACCACCACCACCACCAAAATGTAATCAGAAGTCCATTAGTTTAGAGGCAAGGAATTTTACTCCAATGTTCCCAGTGGTGGAAGATCATGACCAGATTCTTGTGTTACTGAAGCGCTATGAGTCGAAATTTCCAAGTGCTTTCAAGGGCACAGGACATTACAGTAATACAGCCCAGACAATCACCAGAACATGGAGTGCCAAAGAAACTGCCCTTTGGGTTTCTACAACAGTGTTGAGTGCAGGAACATGCCCACACTGCATACTTGCTCCTTCATGGGAACTGAAATCCACCATGAACAGGTTGTATGTATTGCCAGCACCCCTGGGAAGCACCGTTCTACAATGCCTCCCTCTTCTTCAAAACTGTGCTTCGGTTTACTGGGCCACGTCCAAGTCCATAAGCAAGTCCAGAATCCAACTCAGACAAAGAGACAGCTGGCAATATATCAAGGGCACCAGACTCCAAATCTCCAGAGCACGTCACAATCTGCACCCTACAGATATTCAACAGCATGGTGGTTGAGCTTGAGCCTGGCAGGACTCCACAGCTCAGAAACCACAGAGTCAGACAGAAATCCCCCAAATTCCTAAACCTCTTTGACAAGCAGGAGTGGAACTATCATGTCAAGATGTTCCTCAAAACAACGAGTCAGTGTAACAACACCACAGTGGCACGCCAAGTGACTGCAGTACGAACAAGAAACATAAGCCATTTAGCTCTTAGGTACGGAAAAACTCCTAATGGCTCCCATTAAGCTTGGTGTCAAAGTCTACCGAATGCTGTTGGAATCCATACAGGACTGGAGGATAGGAAAATAGAGAAGGAAAAGAATACCCAATTCTTCCAGGAAGCAGCATCACTAGGAACCCGTTTTAGCTCCCTGGGAAAACCGAAAGCTACACTTCCTCATTCATTCAAATTAGAGGAAAATGCAAGTAAAATACGTCCCCCAGAAGACAAAAATAACAGCATCTCCAGGGTTTGGACAAGTGGATAGGGACATATTTGGAAGAACAATTAACACACTAATTGGTGCATCAATGAAGGCATTTATCACTAATACAAGTGCACTGTAGATACAAGGGTTAAAATCTGCATCTCATACTGAAAAGAATTCCTACTTTTGGCCCAGGGTAGTGATTAATTCCAAGGGTTAATTTTCCCATGACATCTTTTCAAAATTTATAAACTGGACTATCAGGAGGAATGCTGACTCCGAGTCCCTCAAGTCTGACATGAATAAATCTCCTTTTGATAAAGTCATTTCAAGCACCAAACTGCAAAGTACCGGGGGAGAAACAAACAAGACAACACTGAAAAGAAATATTGTAGTACAAAAAAAGCTTTACTAAAGAGACACTAACATCTAAATGCCCAAGCAGATCTGGCACAGAAAACAAGTGCTCAGATACCCAAACATCTCCCTCCATCACACATGAAGCACAAACATCGGGCCTAAATCTTAGGAAAGGACAGTATTTGAATTGGCATGGCTGTCAAAATCAGAAAAAATATTGCTTTATAAATTAACCAGACACATTCTGAAAGAAAAAGAGACAGATTGTGCCCTGTTAGTCACACCATCTACCTAGTATCTGAACCTTGCTTGCTATTTCTGTGTTAACAGAAAAGGGAATGGATGGCTTAGAATAGAAGATGCTAAATCTTAGCAGTCGATACAAGACACCTTCACCTGTTGCATTCATCTCTCCTTTTCTCACTCTGCAAACTTCACTAGGAAGATTTTACTTAAATGCAGAAGAAAAGCCTAACAAAACAAAGGCTAGCAAGGGAAATCAAAGCAACAGCAAGTTTTCTAGCACAAGCCCTGTTCCGTGAAATAAACGGACCATCTCATGTTCCTCCACAGCTCCCCTTCATTCCAACAGGACACGTCAACATTCTGCAGAACAATCTCTGGTTGAATTCTTAAGTCTGTACATTGAGAGTGGACATTACAGGAGGCAGCCGTGCCTTTCCTCTACTAGAATGGGAGGCTCTGTTTACTCAGTGAGGCATTTAGAGTCCATTCAACCAAACCGTTCTTGCATTATTCCAAAGAATGTGTGACATGGCACAACAAATTCCAAGCTTGTGGCTCAGAACAATCTGAAAAGGATTAATATATAGTCTAACAGGGCCACCT